GGCCAGTGTGATAATAAAAAACACTTTAGTTTTGCATTGGATTTTGTCTGTTAAGACACATCTGCTTTCAGCCCTGGGCATAATGAACAGAAATGACAATTTATATTTAAATTTCAGCACCCTCGCCTAGTGACTCTTCTGCTTGCATAATGCTAGGAAATTTTAGTACCCAGCAAGGCATGTGTAAGTCTGATGGGAGCTTCAAGAAATAGCTTGCTGGTTGAAATAAACAGGCTGGAGACTAAACAGCTGGGAAATTCACTGAAGTTCTAAGAGGCTGGCTTCAGAATATGGTAAGTTTGATATGCTTTGTAAGTATGGAGATAATTTAGTCAATTCTAACGTGCCTGAAAAATATGATGAAATTACATTTTCCAAGTTTGTGGTTTCCAACAGAAGACTTTGTCTAATGGTGGTTTGTGGTGTCTGATAATTACTGCTATTTTTAAAGAAAAAAAACCAAGTGGGGTTTTCTTTTAACACTTCATTTCTTTATTGCAGTATCTACTAGACTGCTAAATACCAGGTAAGGCTACCAAGGCTCAGGTCTGTTTTTTCCAAATTATAGAAACATTGCACTTGCAGATTTTTTTTACTTAAAATTAATGTTCCTAACAGGTTGGCATGATAATTTGGTAGTTAATATGCTGTGTAAGTAAGTTATGTTGAATAGTTAATTTGTAAATGACCTGAAGAAATGATGAAATTACATTTTCCAAGTTTGTGGTTTCCAACAGAAGACTTTGTCTAATGATGGTTTCTGGTGTCTGATAATTACTGCTACTTTTAAAGAAACAAAAAGTGGGGTTTTCTTTTAACATTTCATTTCTTTATTACAGAATCTACTAGACTGCTAAAATACCAGGCAAGACTACCGAAGCTTGTGTAATGTTTTAGGAAAAAAAATTAGCAACTTTGTGACAGTATTAAAATAAGTCTCTTCATTAAATGTAATGTTGCAGGTAAGTGGCCAAGCTATCATGGACAGAAATATTAACTTGGTATTCTATTTTCATGAATTAGTGCTGCTGGTAATGACTAGTCAGCAGTTAATTGCCAATACTTTGTGTATATATAGGGGTAGCTTTATGGATAGAGAAATTAATTAGTTTGGACATTAAGGGGCGGTACAAGGTGTGCGGCACGTGAGCGAAATTTATTTGAAGAAATTATGGAAATTGTTTTTCATATAGAAAAACAGTAACTGGCAACACAATGGTACCAGAATTGATGTTCAACGACGTTTCTACAAGAAATTAGTCATACCAGGTATGGTGACGGCGATGTGCGTAGCGTGTCTCCTCTCAGCCCATACATTTTTTGGAATTTTTTCCTTTATTTTTTATCGCTTTTTCTTGCATTATTCTTTCTAATAGACTATTTGTCATCATAAAAAAGTAGGCGGAGCTTATCTGTAGACTTCTAGCCAATCTGGAACCATTGGGGAACACCACAGTATTTCCACTCTAGAGAGTGGCTTATTTATCTATCAGAATTGATCTAATATGATATAATACACTATAAATAATGAACATGTTATATACTCTAGACTGAATAAAATGGGCCATATGGCGAGAGTCCACCAGTAATATTAGATATAAAATTATTACCCCTCGTCTCCATGTCGTAGTTTTTGGCCTTCAGTAAGAGAAAACAGTGTTTTGAAGAGGATAACTCCAGTAGAACATCAGTTTACTAAGGAAACCACCGAAACAAATGGGACTTTTGCGGAAAAAAAAAAATTGAGATGGCGGGCCGGCCGGCGTTCCAGACCTATATCTCGGAAGTAACTTATTCACTTATTTCGTTTAACTACCCCTTTATTACTTAAGTAGGATAATATTCACAGAAATTGAAAAAATGATTTTTTTAATGATGCACTTTTTGAAATTTCCAAAAATTTTTTGGGTTGAATGGGGGAAAGGGGCAGGTTTTTTTTTTTTTTTTTTTTTGCAAAAAAAGCCCTAAGAAAAAAAATTTTATTTTTTTTTTTTTTGGGGGAAAAAAGGGAAAGATATTTAGAGGACAGTGCATCGTTAAAAAATCGTTTTAGATTTTCTCGATCAAAGTCCCCAAAAAACTTACGTCGTCCCATAGGACTACCCCCCTCCCAAAGGATATTTTTTAATTTTTTTGTTTGGCATATTTTGACAAATTTTTCAGAAAATTGTGTATTAAAAACCGCTTGTGCATAAAACAATAAAGAAATCTAGGGTAAAAAAAAGGACCAAAGTTATACTGCCCCTTTTGTTGTCCAAAGAAATTTGGGAATGGCAAGGTTGAAATTTGTTTTCACGGGTAAAATATCAATTTCATGTACGGAGATAACTTTTTAGAACCTGCATCAGTCCACAAAGCCAGAAAAAGGTTTGAAACCCTTTTTTGGGACTAAAGGGGTTGTTCAATCTTGCTAAAATGCTGTCTAATTATACAAAGGTTGATTTAAAGGGAAAATTTTGGGAAATTTAATTTCAATTAAATATTTCGCAGGAGGGAAACCGATTAAGAAGTGGTCTGGGTACTGTAATAGGTTAGTGTCAAAATGTCTTGTTGCTAAAGAACTTGGGTAGTTTGAAGGTAAACAAAAAATGAAAAGCTCAAAGTTAACCCATTTTCACTACGACTTTTCTTTTCTCGCTGATGGAAGGCATTTTAATTTCAATTATGCAGTCCTAACATGACATGATTTTTAATTATTTTTTAATTTTGAGAGAATCAAAAGGATTCTGAATTAAAAAAAAAAAAAAAAAAAATGGTGGATCTGTACTAAATATATACTATACACTTCCAGATTGGTGCAGTTGGAAGCCATTTTACACAACCTTAGGTATGTATCAGCATGCAGTTATATAACACATTTTTATTTTTTTTTTCTTCATAATAGTGTTCTTTGATAATTTAAGAATCTGTAATGTTTAAAAGACTGATGCTTTATTTTGTTTGGAAATTGACAAGTATATCATAGTTGAATTGTTGAAATTTGATTTGATTACTCCCTGGCCTTCAACCGGAATCCTCCCTTGCTTTCAAATTCTGAGCTGTATTAATTTTAAAAACTTGTCAGATCAAGCCACACTGCAAATGTTTGCATATACAGCCTGTGGAAGTAGGGCAAAGTAATGTAAACTAAATGAAATAAAACTCGATTTTCCTCCATAACAGTTCTAGACAAATTGTGGGTGAATTTCACAGGTACAGTCCTTAAATATTTTACTTACATAACTGGAGAGAACTAGCACATCTAAAACAGAATGAACTTGCTGTTATAGTTGTACCTCAGTGACTTTAGCAACAGTGGGTCACTGCACTGTCCCTCCTTTAACCCTTTCAGGGTTGCTGTACTAGTACGCATAAATTCTAGCACCTTCAGATCTAGCAAGAGAAAGCTGGTAGGCCTACATATGAAAGAATGGGTCTGTGGTCAGTGTGCACAGTATAAAAAGAATCCTGCAGCACAGTGCATAATAAGAAAAAAATAAACTGTTTTTGCTTTAAAACAGCAACTTTGCAGTGTATTTTCTTAAGCTATTTATGGTTGTATTCTAGTCTTTCTAGTCTCATTTTATAGAATGGAAGATATATTACGGAAATTGAGACTATTTTGATTGGTTTCACAACTAAAAGTGCCTTGAAATTGAGCTCAGTAGCAGAAATGTTTTGGTTTTTGCCAAAGTTCAAAAGTAAACAAATCATGCCACACGTCCAATACATGTCAACTGGCAAGTCTAATATTCTTTCACAAGTGTGCTGATATTATTTATACCACTTCTAATGTAGTCTGCACAACAGTAAATCTTTAATATTTTTGCGAGAATAAAAATTCAAAGTGGAAAGCAAAAGTAATGGAAGAGACCTGCGGACGTGACTCATGAACAGAAAAAAGGTATTTTAGTGCCAGGAGTGTCTTGTTTATTCTGGACCCTATTTGGAAATTGGCAACTTTTGAAAGTTGTGTGAAATTGACAAAACTGCCAATTTCTGACCACTTCATTGGATAGTTGAAATTGGTAAGAGTGGTTTATTGTACTTGTTACATAAAAAAAAGTGGAGTTCTATCGAAATGGTTGATTTGTCTACTGGTACATTGGAATTGGCCGGAAATAGGGCCCAGTGGGTGAAATTACTGATGCGTAAACTTCGTGGAGACCGCTAACTTTGCGAGGGCATAGTTCAGTAAGTTTTCCATCAGACTTCATACTTTTGGTGTCTTTATGATCAAGAGAAGATTCTCTATCATTTCATAAGAAAAAATTTTTTTCTTTCCCAGAAATTTCCAACCCTGAGAAAAAGTTTAGGAGAGGGCCTGCCGACCCTGAGAGGGTTAATGCCCTCCTCAGCTCCCCAAATTCATCTGGACCTTTAATTATATGAACCTCTCATTCTTTAATTTATTAAATGAAATTTTCAGCCAGTAATGCTGCTTATTTATCTAGTTGTAGACTGTACTACTGAAATTTGGTTGTCCAATCCTAACTAAAGTAACTGACTAAACCATACCACGGGCGGGATTTGAACCCGCGGCAAGTCTCAAAACTAAAGTAATTTGTTGGTCCCATTTAAACAATATACCATTTTCATATTACATAAAATTGTGCATAAATGCATAACATAAGGACTACTTGCAGTTATCTTGATATATCATAATACCTCCATAGCAGGTGGGTATGCTAAATATTGGCCACTACTAGATACCATACCTATTTTGTGGGTTGATACCCTATATAAGGAGGCAAAAATTAAACTTCTGTAGGTACGTTTAATCAAAACTTAGTCCAATCCCTGCCTCCAGTATTTTCATTATCAGCCTTATTATGGCCAGATTAGTATGCATTTGAACCCTTCCAGTTGCCTATTTACTCATTTCATGGTCCTCTGTTATTGCAGATATACAGTGGACCCTTGGTTATCAGCCATAATCAGTTCCAGGTCAGCCTAAAACCGAAATGGCCGAAAACGGAAATATTTACCCTAAGAATTAATGTAAATACAATTAATCCATTCCATGACCAAAAATGTTAACAAAAAATACATTTTTTGAAGATTTTTACGTACACAACAATGAGAACTAAATAAAATAGTACGTAAACAATTAAATCGCCATTACATACCTTCATTGAAGACTCCTGTAAGTTACAGTAAGTGTAAATAAAGTGAAATTTTTTTTTTGGGGGGGGGAATATTTGTGTACCTGGGCTGTTGCATATAATAGGCCTATATCTCGGGAGTAAGTTATTTACCTGTTTGGAGCCACAGACCAAATATTTATGGACAAATTGACCTGATTTTCACAACATAGAAGCACAATTGCTCTACAAGCACTTGTTAAGATTTTTGACGTATCCTAAATATTTTCAGATTTGTGGATAAACAAGGGCGATATCTTCCTAAATGTTAAGAAACATAGGAACTATTTTTTCTAGAACTAATAAGGTTTATTATGAGGAAGGATGGAGTTAGTGCTCTCAGCAGTTTGTCAAAACCACTTTTCCAAGTACCACTTTAGCCCTATGCCCTGCCAAGTGTAATTTTTTGTAAATTTTTTTTTTGATTTTCACCCGATCTTTCTGGCACTTCGTCAAATCGGTTGATATAAGCTTCTGTTAGTACACCAAAATTGAACAAAATCGGTCTACAAATAAGTGGACAAATTTTTGTTTACACGCCCCTAAGCGCAGACCGATTACTGGGATTTATATCAAGTGTAAGGAACAGAAGTTCAGCAATTGCATTACAGCTTTATACATTAGTAAGCTCAGTTCTGGTCTCCATATTACAGAATGGACATAAATTCGTTAGGAAACATTCGGCATAGAATGACAAAATTAATACATAACATTAGAAATCTTCCTCGTGAAGAAAAATTGAAAGACCATTTAACCCTTAAACTGTCCAAACATAGATCTACGTTCACATGTGTACTGTTTCAAAAGTAGATCTGTTTTTTTTTTTACATACTTTCAAATGTAGATCTACATTTGGACAGTTTAAGGGTTAAATTACATTAACTTGTTAGATGAAGAATGAGGGGAGACATGATCGAAATGTGGAAGATGGGTATTAATAAAGGGGATATAAATAGTTTTGAGGACCTACAGTAATGTATTCAAATTAGAGAAGTTTAGATTTAGAAGGGATATAGGAAAGTATTGGTTTGGAAATAAGGTAGTTGAGTGGAATAGTGTGCTAAGTTGGGTTATTGAGGCTGAAACCTTGTAGTTTCAAATATAGGTTGGATAAATACTTGACAGAGGGGTTGGATTTGATTGGGACTTGCATGCAAGTGGATAGTTATCAGAGCTTTTCTTGGGGTAGCATTGAAATTTGGGTTGAGCAAATATTTTTGGTGGGATGGATTGTGAAGAACCTGCCTAGTATGGGCCAACAGGCCTACTGCAGTGTTCCTCCTTTGTTCTTACGTATTGTAGAATTGGGCAATTTCAGTTTTACTGTAACTACAATCTGGCAAATTAAAGGCTTTTTATTTTTTTAAGTGATGAGATTTGACACCTCTTCTGAGACCATTATGCTGTACATGGTTGAACTGAAAAAAAAATAATAAAATAAAAAAAAATAATGTACATTGTTACACTAAATAAATGTTTTTCCTTTTGTTTCAGGAATTGGAAAGTGCTTGGAATTTCTTGTGAGTAAAATGGACAGTTCATAATGTCATTAAACTATTCTGAAAGCTTTTCTTCATGTCATAACCCCTTTGTGTTAATCAGTCAGTACAAAACCGTGCCAGGAATGGTAAAAGCCCAGTTTTATGGGCTAGTGTCAATCTTGCCAAAATGCAATATCTGTATTAATATACTTGCATCTACCTTTAAGTAGAGATTACTAATTGATCTTTTCCTGCAGGAGTGGATATGATTGCTTTGCCTTTGAATGGTATTTTTATTCTACTGGAGCCCAGACCTGGGCAAGGCTTAAAAAATCAACTAAGCTGTTGCTTCTGGCCTACATGTCCACCACAGCCTGGTTGACCTGGCACCTGGTGATAATTGTCCAGTTTCATCTTTAAGATTTCTGCATTTGTCAGTGTTCTCAATCTGGTAAGATATTCAGATTGGTTCGAGTACTGGTAGATTAGTGTCAAATGTACGTTGGAAGTTGTTCATGTGACTTAATGATGAGAAATGTTTATCTTGACTCCTGAATTAAAGCTCAACAGGACTGACATACCTTAAGTAAAGGTCTGATATGTAGCTTAGGTGAAAACTAATTCTATTAAATTTTCCCAGGTGGAGGCTGGTGCTCTGTGAAAAGGTAATTATGGTATCCTGTTGGCATTAAATTGTAGTTGCTTTATTTGAGAGAAACCAAAAAGATTTAAAGTAATTTTATGATGACTTGTGTATCAAAATATTTATGTTGACATAATAAATTCCTCGTTTCTGATAGATTAAGAAGCTTAATTATATAGTTGAGTTTAGCAGGGGACTGATGCTCTTTTCTTTTTTTCCAGAGGGACAAATGTATCATGGGTAAGTTGCTGCCTGCACACTTTCACTTTCATTAGACCTAGAGCTCCATTCTGTGAACTTTGTTTAATCAGTGTGTGAGCGAGTGCGAGTGTGTGAGCGTGTGTGTGAGTGAGCAAGTGTGTGAGCGAGCGTGGGGATGTGTGTGTACTCGCCTATTTGTGGTTGCAGGGGTCGAGTCAGCTCCTGGCCTTGCCTCTTCACTGATTGCTACTAGGTCCTCTCTGCTCCATGACTTTATTCGTACCTCGCCTTAAAACTATGTATGGTTCCCGCCTCCACTACTTCACTTTCTAGGCTATTCCACGGCTTGACTACTCTGACTGAAGAAATACTTCCTAACACTGGTTTTAATGAGCAGTGCAACTCCTCCCTCTGTCTGATATCCTGATGGAAAGATTGAATCTGTTATTATTCTGGTGAGTTTTGTTTGCGAGTGCTATGTTTGAGGGATGTCTCCTTGATTCTTTCGTGCCACTCCTCATACTTTTGTTATTCCATCTGCATTTGTATACACACCTTCAACTTCTTTTCTAAGATTGTGGTCTGGGAGGTGTATTGGGGTTGGGGAAGTGGGAGACCTGATGAGGAACTGTGGGTGGTTGCTACGGGGGTGGAGTTTGTAATGCAGTGAGTGTGGGGCATTGGATATGGCATGGGTGTTTTGGTTTAGTGTTTGGCTGCACTGGGGTTGACCTGGTTGGGAGGCTTCTATAGGAAGTTGAGGGAGGCTGTATTTGATCTTCCTGTGTCTGGGATCTCCTGTCTTCTCCATCCCCTCTTTCCTCCTTTCGCCTTTGTACTATCTCTGTTTCTGCTTGTGTTTTGTGGCGGTAGAGATGCACCTTCCTGTATGCCGACATGTCCCTTAATCGTGCTTTCTCCTGAAGGATCCTGTTCAGAGTGGGTTCTGCCTTGAAGGTCACTTTCACTGGCCGGGTGTTTTTTTTTACAACCCCCCCCCCCCCTATTCTCCGAAAATTTTCCAGCTGGATTGTCTTCTATTGCTTTCATGATGCTTTCAATTGCTTTTTCTCCTTGTTTTCTTGCTTCATGTGTTTCCCCCCTTCAACTCACCCATTCATTCTCCCACTGCATATCCCTGTGTATCCCCTCATTCAATTTAATTTCCTCCATTTCAGCTTTCCTTTCTTCAGTTTCACTAGCTAATGTACTTTGGCTCAGTGGCCTGTCATTTTCCCTTCCCAGCTTTCCCTGTGGTCTGTTAGGGCCTCCACATATAGCTTAGCTCTTTCATTTACTAGTCTCCACTGATTGAGTTTCTACATGCAGTTTTGCTCCTTTCCCTACAGTTCCCTTATTTGTGACCGAGGTAGCAGTCTGTTGTCAATCCCAAAATGTTCTTTAGTTCTTCAGGCTGTTTCAGATTTTTCAGTTCCTCTTCTAAACTCTGTATCCTGGTCTCTGCTTTGACTTGCACCTCCCACTTCCTGCTTTCCATGTCTATCCTCTCTTCCATTCTCATGCTAAGTTCTTCTAGTTTCTTTTCTCATTCATGTTCCCTTTTTGTGAGCTGTGCTGCCCAATTTTCCTTTGCAGTTTCCTCCTCCTGTCCCTTGGTTTTTCTTGTTGCTCTCTGGCAACCCATTTTTGTTTTATCCTGATGCCTCAGAGTGGGGAAACCTATGCAATTCTGTATGTTAGGTTAGTATTTTATGTCAGAGTGTGGGGGGGGGGGAGGTAGAGGAGGAACTGTGGCTAGTGGGAGAGTAGTGGGAGTGGGTGAGAGGGAGAGGTGGGGAGCGGGAGGGTGGAAGAGGGAGGGGAGGGATCAGGTGAAGGAGTGAGATGTCGTGGGGAGGGGGGTGTATGTGAGAGTCTGGCAATGTTTGTGGATTGTTGGTTTGTGGTTGTTGGTTTGTGTGTTGTTGGTTTGTGGTGTTGTTGGTTTTGTGGTGTTGTTGTTTGTGGTGTTGTTGTTTGTGGTGTTGTTGTTTGTGGTGTTGTTGGTTTGTGGTGTTGTTGGTTTGTGGTGTTGTTGGTTTGTGGTGTTGTTGGTTTGTGGTGTTGGTTTGTGCTGTTGTTGGTTTGTGGTGTTGTTGGTTTGTGGTGTGTGTTCACTTAGTTACCATATTGTCCTAGTGCAGGTGTATGTACGTACTCGCCTAGTTGTACTCACCAAGTTGAGGTTGCGGGGGTAGAGTCCGAGCTCCTGGCCCCGCCTCTTCACTGATCGCTACTAGGTCACTCCCTGAACCGTGAGCTTTATCATACCTCTGCATCGATCCTGCCTCCACTACATTGCTTCCCAAACTATTCCACTTACTGACTACTCTGTGGCTGAAGAAATACTTCCTAAACATCCCTGTGATTCATCCGTGTCTTCAATCTCTGGAACATCCTGTCTTTGTCCACCTTGTCAATTCCTCTCAGTATTTTGTATGTCATTATCATGTCCCCCCTATCTCTCCTGTCCTCCAGTGTCGTCAGGTTGATTTCCCTTAACCTCTCCTTGTAGGACATACCTCTTAGCTCTGGGACTAGTCTTGTTGCAAACCTTTGCACTTTTAGTTTCTTTACGTGCTTGGCTAGGTGTGGGTTCCAAACTGGTGCCGCATACTCCAATATGGGCCCAACGTACACGGTGTACAGTGTCCTGAACGATTCCTTATTAAGATGTCGGAATGCTGTTCTGAGGTTTGCTAGGCGCCCATATGCTGCAGCAGTTATTTGGTCGATGTGCGCTTCAAATGTGCCTGGTGTTATACTCGCCCCAAGATCTTTTTCCTCAAGTGAGGTTTGTAGTCTGGCCCCCCCTAGACTGTACTCAGTCTGCGGTCTTCTTTGCCCTTCCCCAATCTTCATGACTTTGCACTTGGTGTGATTGAACTCCAGGAGCCAATTGCTGGACCAGGTCTGCAGACTGTCCAGATCCCTTTGTAGTTCTGCCTGGTCTTCGATAGTGAATTCTTCTCGTCAACTACCTGTCATCTGCAAACAGGGACACTTCGGAGTCTATTCCTTCAGTCATGTCGTTCACAAATACCAGAAACAGCACTGGTCCTAGGACTGACCCCTGTGGGACCCCGCTGGTCACAGGTGCCCACTCTGACACCTCGCCACGTACCACGACTCGCTGCTGTCTTCCTGACAAGTATTCCCTGATCCATTGCAGTGCCATCCCTGTTATCCCTGCTTGGTCCTCCAGTTTTTGAACCAATCTCTTGTGTGGAACTGTGTCGAGTGCCTTCTTGCAGTCCAAGAATATGCAATCCACCCACCCCTCTTGTCTTACTGCTGTCACCATGTTATAGAACTCCAGTAGGTTTGTGACACAGGATTTCCCATCCCTGAAACCATGTTGGCTGCTGTTGACGAGATCATTACTTTCTAGGTGTTCCACCACTCTTCTCCTGATAATCTTCTCCATGATTTTGCGTACTATACATGTCAGTGACACTGGTCTGTAGTTTAATGCTTCATGTCTGTCTCCTTTTTTAAAGATTGGGACTACATTTGCTGTCTTCATCTCAGGCAATCTCCGTTTCGATAGATGTATTGAATATTGTTGTTAGGGGTACACATAGCACCTCTGCTCCCTCTCTCAATACCCATGGGGAGATGTTATCTGGCCCCCATTGCCTTTGAGGTATCTAGCTCACTCAAGCCTCCACTTCCTCCTTGGTTGTGTGCACTGTCCAGCACATGGTGTGCCCCACCTGTGTGTGTGTGTATGTATGGGGGAGGTGTGAGGGGGGAAATACTGCTAACGTGTGTGTGTGCGCGCGTGCCTACATGACTATTCTACTGCCTTGCTGGCATTTCTAAAAATGCTTAGGCTTTAATTGTCCCTTCCCTAGTAGGCCAAAACAAAAAAAAAATTGAACCCAGGTGTACATGTAGTGTTATAAAATTAGTAATGTATACGTAGGCACTTTAGTTTTGCATTGGATTTTCTGTTAAGACACCTGCTTTCAGCCCTGGGCATAATGAACAGAGGTGACAATTTATATTTAAATTTCAGCACCCTCGCCTAGTGACTCTTCTGCTTGCAAAATGCTAGGAAATCTTAGTACCTGGCAAGGCATGTGTAAGTCTGATGGGAGCTTCAAGAAATGGCTGGCTGGTTGAAATCAATAGGTTGGAGACTGTAGACAGCTGGGAGAATTCACTGAAGTTCTAAGAGGCTGGCTTCAGAATATGGTAAGTTTAATGCGCTTTGTAAGTATGGAGATAATTTAGTCAATTGTAACGTGCCTGAAAAATATGATGAAATTACTTTTTCCAAGTTTGTGGTTTCCAACAGAAGTTTGTCTAATGATGGTTTGTGGTGTCTGATAATTACTGCAATTTTAAAAGAAACAAACAAACCAAGTGGTGTTTTCTTTTAACACTTCATTTCTTTATTACAGTATCTACTAGACTGCTAAATACCAGGTAAGGCTACCAAGGCTCAGGTCTGTTTTTTCCAAATTATAGAAACATTGCACTTGCAGATTTTTTTACTTAAAATTAATGTTCCTAACAGGTTGGCATGATAATTTGGTAGTTAATATGCTGTATAAGTTATGTTGAATAGTTAATTTGTAAATGACCTGAAGAAATGATGA